AGTAAAATTAATTTCAGTTCAGTAAAAATAAGTTTAGTTCAGCAAAATTCAGTTTTATTAAAGAAGAATTATAATAAAAAATCAGTTAAAATAATTTCAGTTCAGCAAAAACTATTTCAGTTCAGTAAAATTAATTTCAGTTCAGTAAAAATAATTTAAGTTCAGCAAAAATAATTTCAATTCAGTAAAAATAATTTCAGTTCAGCAAAATTAAGGTGAAGAGAACGGGGTTCGAAAGGTTAGAAATCTCCGGGTTGCCTCCCGGGAAGCGCTTGCTTATGGTCGGTCCTAAGCTCGACCCTTCCTCCAAATCATGGAGGGTCAAAGAACACCACCTTGTCCAAGGTAGCAGATAGAACAACTTTTCCTTCATTTTTAAGCAACCTCTCATTGTTGTTTGACAAGACTTCACTTGCTTGCACTTTAAAAATAACCTTTTCATTTTTCAACTTCAATCTCATTCTCTTCTTCCTCGAAGCTCTTGCTTTCTTCTTGACCTTGTTTCTTTTTGTAGACGGTTTCTGTAGACACCCATTTGTGTCACCCCAAAACCAAACCCGGTGATGTGTACCTTTCACGTTGAATCATAATCGAATGAAGTAAAAGTGTGGAAAGTCTAGTGTTGCGGATAGTTTTTATTTCTTTTCTTTCTCTCTGTTTTAAAAACCTATTTTAAGAAAAAAAATCAATCCAGTTTGGTTTGGTCCATAGAAAGGGTCCAATAATGGTTTAGTTGGATGTGGCTTGAAAAGAGCTTTCCAACGATATATTATAAGCCCAATTCCGATGAATAATGAGGAAGTTATGGCCAAATTACTAAACTGGGCCCGGTTTGATTTTTATGCGCGGCCCAATGATCTAGAGGAGGGCCTTATATGGATTTATCATTACTAATGCAGTTAGAATTGATTTTAGTCTTCTAGATTCTTCGAGAAGGTTCTTTTCATTCCTAATTCAATTAGCATTGATAAATTGACTTTGGTTGACTTTTTAGAGTTTTAATCAGAATAAAAGAAGTGTTTTTAAAGGAAAATACGATTTTGCCCTTCTGTACGGCCAAATTTTATCAAAATTAAGAAACGCGTGAAACTGATTATTAGCGCCTGACGACAAGCATTAGCGCTTGGCGCCTAATGCTAACCTTCAGCGCCTAACGCTAATGTCCAGCGTCTGGCACCAATCGTGTTTTATTGTCGTCGAAACTCTGATTCTTTTTCTAATACATCCGGCTGATTTTCTCTATAAATAGCCTCCTAAAACCTCCGTTTTCTATCATCAACTCTCTAGTTTTCTAATTCTCTTCTCTCTCTAAGCTAAAGCTTATTCTCTCTCACTCCTAGCTTTTCTCATACAAAATTCCGCATTCACAAGATTTAGAAACACTTAGCGTTGTTCAAAGTTACCTTCGCCCTAGACGTGAAAGGTTTTAATTTCTGAAGGTTTGGTCCCAAATCTCTCTTTCAATTATTTTAATTTAATTATTTGATTTATTATTTTCCTTGAAGTTACTAACGTGTGTATTTTGTTATTAAAAAGAGATACGACACAGCCAAGTAAGTGCTTTAATTGATTTATTGATATTATGATATAGAAATCATGTTTAGGTCGTTATTATGATTCCTAGTGTCATGTTAGGGCGTTTTGATCTTCCTAGTATCATGTTTAGGGTAATAGCTATAATTTTAATATTAAATATGACAATTGTGATTCCTGCGATACTTCCTATTTTCTTCCTAATAGCATGTTAGTATCATGTTAGGGCTAAAGCTTTGATTTTTATTGCTTAATGACATGCTAGGATCTTGCTATTAATATTATGCTTTAACATGATTATGATAATTATGATTATGATGTTAATTTACGAATTGTTTCACGTAATTTGTTAATTTACGAATTATTTCATGCTATTTGTTAATTGACAGATAACTTATATATAATTTATTATGATGATGTTGCTTGATGTATATTTATTGTTATTGCTTGATCATACGTTTATGCATGTTTAAAGGGAATTGGTACTTGTAATCACACTTGATAAGATAATTAATAATCTTGTTTAGGGTTAATATGATTATAATTCTAGTGATCGCCAATAATAGATTTATTTTTGCACTAAAATTCAACCAACATAGATAAACAGGTTTACGGTTCAACCTATTGATTGCATGTTAGTCAGAAAGCACACATGAATATGATCAGAATAAAGTAGAGGCCTATTATTAGGGCAGGTTCAATCTCTTTAAGGTTGAATTTGTACCTTCATCCCTGAACTACCAGTCGTGGTTCCAGGCCTATTGGAGTTAACGATCTCCTGGATCGTTAAGGGGTGTAACTTTCACCTCGTGAACGATTTACAAGTTCCAAAAACTTGTTGGCGACTCTTTTGCTCTATCTTCTTTCTCTTTGGACGCCACCGTACTTTAGTGTATGATCACATTGGGGTTCAAGTTTGGGGTAATGCTTGAAATATTCCCTATAGTTTCACACCATCTATATCCATGGAATCATCCTCCTCCTCTTGAGGGCAAAGCTCAAACCAATGTAGAATGTCAATAACCTCTTCGTCCATAGCATTTGAAAGCTTTTATTCTTCACTAACTTTCATGGCATCAAACTTCACAAGCACATCATCAAAATCTCATGAACACCGTTAGTTGAAGAATTTATCACACAAACATTATCAATGAAGCAAAGGGAATTATCATTCATGACTTCTTTCACAAAAGACAAGGATTCATGCATTGGTTTTAGCTTAAAACTCTCTTTTTCATTACCAACTCTCAAAGTGAAGAGTGTGTTGTTTGGTATACAGACTTATTGGGCTCAAATTTTTATTCTTCCGAAGAAAATTCTAAAAGAGATTGAGGCTAGGTTCAGATGCTTTCTTTAGACTGGAGCCTCTGCTCCTGCTAAGAAGTCTTTGGTTGCTTGGAATAATGTTTGTCTTCCTAAAGTTTGTAGTGGCTGGAATCTGCTTTCTCTTCCTGAGTGGAATAAAGCGGCTGTCACTAAGTTACTTAAGGATATTGCTCACAAGGCTGATAATCTTTGGGTTAAGTGGGTTCATATCTACTATTTCAAGCACAAAGATTGTTGGACCACTCCTACCCCTGCTAGATGCTCCTGGTTCTTGAAGAAGATTTTGAGTTGTAGAGATATTGTGAATGATCAAGGGGATGGGATGGTTTCGTTCAGGGCAACAAGTTGAAAATCAAGAAGCTTTATGCTGCTATTAGGCCTCAAGTGCCTAAAGTTCCTTGGAAGAGAGTTACTTGCCATAACTTAGCAACTCCCAAGAGTGTTTTCATATTGTGGCTAACTTTATGGAATAGGCTTGTCACTAAGGATAGGTTGCTTCAATGGCACATCTCTTGTGATCCAAAGTGTTTCCTTTGTCTGAATGGCAATGAAAGTGTTCAACATCTTTTCTATTGTGATTTCTCTATGAAGGTTTGGAGTAAGGTTTTGGGGATCTTACGTGTTTCCAAGCCTGTTCAGCAGTTTAGTGATGAGATTGATTGGATGAAGAAAATCTGCAGAAGTTCCAGATTGAAGAATAAAGTGATCCAGGTGGCCTTCACTGAAACGGTTTATGGTATTTGGATTCAAAGGAATGCAGTTCTCTTTACTGGTTGTTGCAAATCAGTTGATGCTCTTGTTCGGGATATTGTCTTTCACTCAGTTTGTAGAATCCCGGCGGGAAGCAAATATTTGATCGTTTAGGGCTTGTCTCGGGCTCTTTGTGTTTTTGTTCTGGTTTCCTTTGTTTGGGTTCTGATACTGGGTTTCCCGTTGTTTCTTTTTGTATTGGTTTCCTTTTCTGCAGGCTTTTTCTGTGCTTTGTTGTGCTTCTGTGTTGCTGCTGCCTGCGGTTTGTGTTGCTGTGCTGTTGGTGTGTTGCTGCTGTTGTTGATGCAGTCTGCTGCTGCTGTTTCTTTGCTGTTGTTTGGTTACTGCTGTTGCTGATCTGCTGCTGTATACTGTGTTCTGCTGCCTGCTGTGGTTTGCTGTCTGGTGCAGTCTGCTGCCTGCTGTGCTGTCTGTCTGCTGCAGTCTGCTGCAGGTGTTGCTGATCTTTTGTTGCTGGTCTGCTTCTGCTGCTGCCTGTTGTGCTGTCCTGCTGTGTTGTTTGCTGGCTGTTGCAATCTGCTGCTGGTTGCTGTGCTTGCTGCTTGTTGTTGTTGCTGGTCTGCAGTGCTTGTTGCTGTTCTGTGCCTCTGCTGCTCTGCTGTGTGTTGCTGTGCACTGCTTTGCACTGCTGTCTGCCTTGCTGTTTTATGCTGCTGTTTTGTGCTTTATGGTCTTTTGGTGTTCTGGTGGTAGTTATAACTTAGCTTTTGTAACTTGTAACTTTCTCTCTTTGGTAATAAAATCTTATTTTCCAAAAAAAAAAAAACTCTCAAAGTGATACGACTGCCCTTAACATCTATTAGAGCACCCGAAGTAGCTAAGAATGGTCTCCCTAGAATAATAGGAATGTGGTCATCCTTCTCAATTTCTAGCACAATAAACTATGGGAATTGTGAAACCATAAATCCCTAGGGGAACATCTTCAACTCTTCCTTTTGGAAACTTAATAGATCTATCGGCCAATTGCAAGGTTATGTTCGTAGGAAGAAGTTCTCCTAGCTTAAGCTTCTTGAACACCGAGTAAGGCATAATGCTAACAATAGCACCTAAGTCACACAAAGCATTTTCAAACAACTTACTCTTGATCTTGCAAGGAATAGAGAAATTGCCCGGATCTTTCATCTTCTTTGGTAAGTCATTGTGAATCAAAGCACTACAACACTCACCAAGCTCTACCAAATCTACCTCATTGCACTCTCTCTTGCCACTCAAAATATCCTTAAGGAATTTGGAATATCTAAGAATTTGGGTCATAGCTTCGGTAAGAGGGATAGAAAGATGGACCTCCTTCAACATGTCAAGAAATCTCCCAAATTGTTCATCTAATTTGTTCCTCATAAACTTTTATGGATATGGAAGGTCGGGTTTTCTCACTTACTCTTGCACTCTCTAACACTCTTCTTTTTCTCAAGGACTTCCTCCTTGCTCACACTCTTTGACACATCTTTCTCTTTTTCCTCACTTGAGTCATAATCACTCTTCCTCTCATCCTCCTCACCATTCCTAGAAACTCTCTCTTCAAGCACTTTTCCACTCCTTGTGGTGATAGAATAAATGGGTTTCTTAGGATTAACTCCTTGAGAGGGTAGTGAAGAAGGGCTAGCACAATCTTTCAAAGTGTTGGCTAGTTGAGTAATTTGGGTTTCAAGCATCTTGTTGTGTGTCATCATCTCATTGAATTTCTTATCACTCACCGACATGTAGGTGTTCAAAATCTTGGTTTGGTTCTCAATGATCTCCTCTAAGGTAGTCTTGGAAGATGGGGGCTGAGTATAATAATTATCACCATTTCCTTGAGGTCTTGGAGCAAATCCGGGTGGGGGTCCCCTTTGATTGTTGTTTTGAAAATTTCCCCTATTTTGATTGTTCCAATTACCTTGGCCTTGATTGTTACCAAAATTTTGGTGTTGGCCACCAAAGCCATGAGATTGGCCTTGATTTCCATACCCTTGGCTTTGGTTTTGATTACTATAACCTTGGTTATTATAGTTACCTCGGAAACCTTGATTTACTTGATTCCAATAACCACCATTGTTGTAGTTATCAAAATTACCTTGTTGGTGAGAATTCCTATTCCCAAAATTCCTTGGACCATCAAATCTTTGTCCAACGTTATTATTAGAAACAATTCACTTGTTCACAATCATTGCTTTCAACATCATCACAATTCTCAAAAGCATTTGGACAATTTGAACAATCATGGTCATAAGACCCACAAATATCACAAAAGACACAACCACTTGGCATATTACTCAAAGTAGAAGGAGGAGTAGAGTTAGAAAGTGTACCTCTCCCTTTCATGTGGGAGGGAAGACTTGGTGAAATCGAAGAGGCACTCTCTAGCTTGGCATTAATCAATGTTATCTTCTTTTCCATGTTTGAGATTTGGGAATACAATTTATTGATTGCATTAAGATGATCAACCGAATAAACCGTTGAGCCACTCTTTCTTACGGACTCTCTCTCTCCCTCTTGCCAATCCATGTAGTGACGAACTACATCCTTGATTATATATACAACCTCTTCTTCAGTCTTGTTCATAATCGGGCCTCCGGCTCCGTGATCTAAGGAGAGACTATGTCGTTGAAAACTAATCTACCCTTGATCAAAACAAAATTTGTAATCTCTCAACACACCTCTATACCAAGCATAGAGTAAGTCAAGGGTCGAATCACTAGGAATGGGAGGTGAATGCTAATGTCAAAGCTAAGGTATTTCGAATCAATAAAGTGAGGTGTGTATAGTTTAAACAATCAAAATGAAATCAAATTTATCAAGCACAGGGTTAAGATCCGCATATACTCGGAATAGATATATAAAATTGGGATTGGTGATGATTAAGTCGAGTGTTGCGAGGGAAAATCAATTAAGCAATCAAGAGAATAAGGTAAGCTAATCTCGTAGAGGTCAAGCTAGCGCCTACTACGAGAGACTCTAACTAGTAACCTTGTAAACCTACTCAATCGACAAAAGCAAGCCACAAATCAATTTTCCGTATCAATGCAAGCTTGCAATGCATTCTAGTGTAACAATCAAAGTTAGCTACTCTTCAATTAATCACACACATGCACTTAATCAATCAACCAATTTAATCACAACATCAACTCCATCAATTTCCCCCAATTAGCATCAATAAATTACTTATACATGCTTTACCATTCCCCTAGCAAGAGAACTACTCATAATCCATTGAAATCAAGATAAAAACTAAGATAATCAACAATTTCATCATCATCATATCAATACAACTAATTCAATCACAAATTCAATTCAAACTTGAACAATCAACAAAGCAATTGAAATGATAAGCTAAAGATTGCATTAAAGTAAAAGAAATCCTTACAAACTTGCTTCAATTCAATGGAGAAAATGCTAGAATTACCAATCTTTAATCATCAATCAAGAACTTCTCTCTCTACAACCTAGAGTTTCTCTTTCTGAAATTCTTATTCTAATTCTATCCTAATTTCTGAAAAAATTCCTCTCTCTAAAAATAGAAAGAAAATTTATATATAGTAAAACTAACTAAGAGAAGTTAGTTAGATCTTCCCCAAATTAACCCATACAGGCGCGGCCAATTATAAGGGAGAGCGCGGCCGCGCAAATCTGGGTACGGAACAAAGACCCAAACAGGCGCGCCCGCGCCTGAGTGAGGTGCGCCTGCGCCACCAGGCCGCGCAGCTGCACCATAGCCGCGCGCGCCCGCGATTGGGAATAGGGCAGCCTTCTTCCCTATCATGCCGATGCTCCTTGTGCGTTCCACTTAATCCTCTTGATAAACACGGGACCTTGCAGTTTCTAAACTCTATGTTTGCAGGTTCAACACTAGAAATCATGCCCCAACGACTTGAATGCACAACTCAAGGACTTTAGGAACTTGCACTTCTCCATGCTTGAGCTTCAAATGGAGAACATTAAACATCCTAATCAATGCCAAACTTGGGAAGAGGCCTCGGGAAACTTAGATAACGACCTTAACCTGAAAAATAAAGGAAAACAAGCAAATAAATGAGAAAATAAAAAAATAAACCAAGAAATGCATAAAGAAAGAAATCTAACGAAGAAAATGCAAACTAAAAGAAATAAAGAAGAAAATTAACGAAAAGCTAAGTAAAAGAGCTATAGAATAGCATGAAATTAACCCTAAAAAGAACCAAATGAGTGCCATAAATGACACTCATCAAATTCCCCCAAGCTTAACTTTTGCTCGTCCTCGAGCAAAACAAAGCAAGAAAGAATAAGGATGAAAGACTTATTCAAAAAGAAAAAGAAAGACATAAGACGGGAATATTCACTAAGAATCACTAACGTAGGAATCACGATTGTTTTTAGCTACAACAAGCCCTTTAAACCCCAAAGTCGCCTATGAGGAAGAGTGAGGTCTCGTAAAGGTTTCCTAAGAGCTTAACCTATAACTCTCCACCAACATACATGAGGCAAACCACAAAAAGGAAAGCAAAAGAAAAAAAAACAAAATTGAAACCTTTACGAATTGGACTTTACAAAATGACCACATTTCAAATGAATAAACGTCATTCTTAAGCAATAGGGATATGCACGTTTCAAGATATCCGAGGTTGATTGAAACATAAAGTATGATAAGCATAGAGAAATAATTATCACAATTCACCTTCATCCCGTTCGATCTTACCGCATTCTTCCTATAGTCTCAAATCACCCTCTAATGAGCATCTCAATAGCTCCTCGAAGGAGCCGAAAAAGAAACACTTATGGACTACACGACATCTTGACTATGCATATCCTCTCTTTAGGCTTTAATTCATAATGCCCTCCCTCGAAATTTGACTGAACCTTTAGGTCAAAAGGTCTTTCCCAATGGTTGTAACGTAAGGGAAAAAAAGGTTAAGGGTAGGCTAAATTTTTAAAATTTGGCGGTATTCCTAATTAGTGAAGTAAAGGGTGATCAAACCTTCTCCTCACAACCAAGCAATTGCCAAACAAAAACAAACTAACTCCCCCAAGCTTATTCAAAGCCATAACCACAATCATATATACAAAAAGCGTAAACGCTTCTCCCCAAGCTTAAAGGAAGCATTGTCCTCAATGCTTGAAAAGGGGAAAAGAATCACATCAAAATATTTTTGATTTTTCTTATTTTCAATTCTTTTTCATTGTTTGTTTTCAAAATTTTCAAAGTAAATGTCCATGCCTCTTTAACTTAGTACGTCTTTTACAAATTTTCATTTATTAAGTCCTTTCCTTTTTTACACTTAGGACGGATTTTTCCATTAATCATTTTCCATTATTCACGAAATATTCACAAAACACAAGCTTGCTTACAAAAAGAACCAATATCCATAGTTTTAAACCACAAACTCAAAAAACATGACCATTTGCTTCATAAAAACAAAAAATGGAACAAAAAGAAACAAAAGCCTCAAAATTCTAAAGATGTGGCTTGAAAAGAAGGGAAAAGGCTCAAATGGTTAGCAAGAAGGGAAATTTAAACCCAAAGAAATAAAATATGAAAATTAAACCTAGAAAAAGAAAAATTACCACCCCGAAAAGATGCCTTTGTCCTCCCTAGATGGTTCGGTCTCGTGTTTGAGAATAATGAGTCAAGATTCAAGATTAGGTCTGCAATAGTCTAGGATCCATGCCACTCATGCAAAATATGTAGAAGGCTTGAAAAAAAATGAACCTTACATGGATGTAGCAAAAACTCACTATAGGTGTCAAATCGACCATAGGAAGCAACTATCAACAAGCCACAAACAAGTAGAATCTGGTTTCATGACCCTCCTAGTTCTAGAACATGCTACCTTAACATACACCTATCCTAGAGTAAAAAAAGCATATTCTCAAATCGTGCATACCCATACCATTTAGGAAGATATTCATTCAAAACCAAAAATCGGTTGTATATAGTCCAATTCAAAAGAAAAACAAAAAGTGACAAATAAAGCCTAAAAACATACGAAAAACCAAAAACAAGAAGAAAGAAAAATAAAAGATAAGAAAGGAGAAAAGAAAAACATAGATAAAGGAAAAGAAGGAAAATAAAGAATGGAACGAATATGCAAGTAAAACATGTAATTCCCAATCGAAAAACAAGTGATCAAATGACAACATCGCCAATGATCCCAAACACACTAGGTGTTAAAAGCATCCATCCTCGAACCATTCAACTTTTCCTAAATCTAATCCTAAACTATGCATTCAAGAAAATAAAAGAGAATAAGGAAAAATAAGAAAGATCTCACCGGCTTCCGAGCAATGGTAAAATAGTAAAGTGAAGAATCAACCACCTCATGAAGCTCCAAGAAACAAAGCATCATCATCAAAGCTATATGAGAACAAAAATGGAAAAGACAACCATGGACAAAGAAAACAGTTCGTAACTCCAAAACAAAAGAAAAGAAAAGAAAACGAAAAGGAAAGAAACTAATAAGCAAAAATAAGGGAAACTAAACTATCAAGAAAGAAAAAATAAGAAAATAAGAACTAAAGAACCAAACATCTAACTAATCAACAAAGTACTAAACTACAAAATTTGGATTCAAGGGTTTGGATTCATGGGATTTGGATCTAAGGGTTTTGGATTCTAGGGAGCAATTCACGAATCATCATCACAATAATAAGAAGATAAAAAATGAGCAAACATCATCAAAGAGGAATCAAGAAAGAGATCATCATACAAAGAGGCAAAAGAAACAAGGTGAGTTTCAACAACAAATTGGCCACCGAGACAAACCCTTAAGAAAAGGAAAAGTTCCCCCAAGCTAATCATAGATACATCTCAACATCCCAACAATACAAAGCAAGCACACATAAGACAAGGGATGGAGGCACATGGCACAAAAATAAGGGAACTAGCTACCACTACCACTCGTCCTGGGGCCATCATTGTTATCCCCATCATAGGAAAACCCGGATGGGGAACTATGGTGTGCCTCAGTCGTATGCAACCAAAAATATCACAACTAAGCTAACTGCAAATAAACGTAGTTAGGGAAGTCGAGTTCGAATCCACAGGGAAAAAGGGACTAATAACTGGAAACCTAAGTGGAAATACTCTAGGACGGTAGTAACCTAAGTAACGAGAGGGGTTTTCACGAGCAATGATGATAAATGAACTAAGTAAGAACAACGAACGTAATGAATAGGTAATCAATGAGAAGAACGGTCTTGGTTATGCGAAATCCACTAATGAACATACAAATTGATCATAGAAGTCTCCTCAATCAAGCTCTATTGAACACCTTGTTGTAGAATTCCTATATTCTAAATTCTCATAAATAGTTAGAAATAGCAAAGCGCTCCTTTCTAACCCTTTCCAATGCACAATTCAAGACAAGCGCTCTAAATTATCCACAAGAAGAAAATAAACGGAGAAATCAACAAGGATTGAATAA